CTTATTTATATAATGTAAAAGGGAAATGGCCTTGTTAACTATTTCTTGTATCTTTATCATTTTGCTAATTGCTCTTTTTATTAGCTCAACTGCCTAACAGACTTGCTTTTTCCTAATCAAGATTTAAGTCACATGCTAATATTCTAGAACAGAAGACAATTTTTAAGACAAAATGGTTTTTCTTCCTTTAGGTAGAGCACTGTTACTTTAGAACAATGTACTTTATTGCATGTTTCCAATTGTGGACTGCCTGCAAAATTTGCTTCATGCTCTATACTACATTTTTAAAGACATTCCCTTTGAAATACCTTGTTTTGGGGACACAGCTATTGGTGAACAGCAAAATAAATGCATATTTTTCATCATTTCGATAGGACAGTAAACATCTTTTTATCCACATTAAATTGTGAGTCCACATAGCACATAGAGAATAAATATCAATAGTAAACTTAAAATGCATGACCCAGTAAACATGTGCTTTTTAATGAGCCCTATTAATTTAACTACAAGGTTTAAATATTTAATGTACTGATATTACTATCTTATGCCGCCTGTCGAGAGAGAATAAATTTGATACTTCTTAATAGTGCACCAACTCCTTCAGGTCATTGGACAGAAAGTGCTATTCTGGATATATCTACAGACAACAATAGTACATGAAAGAACACTGCCTTCTACACATAATGGTGCCACACACACAAAATGCATTCCCAAATACATGCAATTTGCTTTTTTTCCCCACTAGCAATATCAACCTAAAGTCCATGATAAAAAACAGTTATGAAACAATAAGATAACCCCAGTGTAACAGATATATGTCAGTAAAGAATCTTCTCCCTTCTCTTCTTTTAGTTGTCTTATTCATTTTGCAGGTGATCACTGGGTTGAGAAAGGAACATTATCTTATAGCCTAATTCATATACTGGATGGAGAAGTAGGTATCAAAAGTTATAGGCCTCTATAACATTTGCACATCTCTTCTGAGTAACAATGAGGAAAACCACGAGGAAAGCAACATTGTAAATATAACAGCCAAAAAGAAAACAACAACAACAACAACAAAAAACCCAAAAACCCACACACATTGAAAAGAGCAAAAAACAATTCTGGATATAACAGAGGAGATGATGACAAACGATATGGATGTTTCGAAACGCTCTACAAATAAAACAGCATTATTCGATAGGATGCAACAAAATTGCAAAAAGAGGCAACGATGTATCACAAGACACGGAATCATTTGAAAGAAGCAGTTATAGACATAAGCCACACACAGGATTTCTTGTCTTACTTGCACAAGTATCTCGAGGGGTTTGAAAGGTCTTTCACCATGAAGCACTCGCCTCCGTTCACACAGAAAGTTTTCTCCTTTTCGGCACACTTTACAAGATGGCTCGTCCCAGTGGTTGATGTAGATGTAGCTAGATAGGAGAGAGAGAAGGGGAAAAGTTACATTAATTTTTTCCACCTTCTAAGCAGCCTTCGCTCTTAAATTATCCCGAAAGGAAGAGTTCATAGAAGGTACAGTGGACTTCATTAACTTTCACACTTGAGGAACAATAGCAAAGAAATTCAGTACTTTCTGGGTCTAATTAAATAGAATAAAATTACAAAAGAGGTAATTGTAGAGTTAATTAATTTTATTATAATGAAGAAGGAAAAGGAGCTCAATTATTTTTTTCCTGACCAATATTTTATCTTCTAAGATAGTTGGAAAAGAGAAATTCTGTTGCCATTAAGTAAAATACTTTTTCCAGGAAGGCTCAAAGGTAAACGATACAAAGTCATGTTAATGCAGATCAGTTTAGGTATCAATTTTTTAATGACAACTAATTGACATTATTTATTTTAGAAATTATGTTTTATATGTATATTGATTCTAAGATAGTTGGAAAAGAGAAATTCTGTTGCCATTAAGTAAAATATTTTTTCCAGGAAGGCTCAAAGGTAAACGATGCAAAGTCATGTTAAT